CGTCTATGTATAACGGGTTCAAGGTTGTCTCCTAGCTGGGTGAGCACCGGGTAGACAGATGAATGGACCCGACCCTGACAAAACCAATGTAGCACAAAGAAAATTAATCACAGCTGCTGGGACACAGCCAACACAAAACCAGGCCATCGGATCTGAATGAGAGCTGGCGGTGAAGCAAACAGCAAGTGGGCTACAAGTACAGCAAAAACGTCCAGAAATAATTGTGGAAGAATAAGTTTATCCTTTTCCCCAATGTGCACGTCTCTGGAGAGCAGAGGTTCGTCTTGGTGTGTGCATAGTGAATATTCCCTGTGCAACGATGTCTAAAGGCCTTGTTGTTTTTTTTCTTTCCATATGACAAAATATCTCTCCAACACAAGCGTTTGGATGAGTTTTGAGAGCCTCCTTCACACCAGTGGTGTCCGGGACATCTTCTCAAACAGCCTAATGAGGGCCGGTGTCACCTCGTCCTGAAGACGACGCCGCTCTGTGTGGACTGTTGTGTCGACAACGTGCCATGAGAGACACAAACCAGTGTGATCTGGCTTTGTTTGGTGTCACAGTGGGATTTCCTGTCAATCTGCTCTCTCTCTCTATTTCGTGTCTTCTCCTCTCCTCTGGATATAAATATCTTCCTCCCATCATCCTCTCTTCCCTTTATTAAGCCACCAACGAACATTCACCCTTTTTTTTTTTTTTTTTTTGTGCGTGCATATATGATTAAGTTGCAGCAATTAAGCATTCCTCACAGGAAAACTGCAAGACATAAGGTATAATCTTGGGTGTGGCCACTTTTCACATCTGTTTTGTTATGTGGGCCGCCGGGTCCACTGAGAGTCTATAAATAGTCTGTAATTCTGTTGGTGCCATTAGAATCATGTCTGGAGCTCCATTCAACCTTTTCCTCGCCATGTGTTTGTTGACACTCTCCTTTATATGCGCTTTATCTTAGATTTGGACTTTAATAGTTTTATGAAATTAGCGCCCCGTGACATTAAACAAGAAAAGAAAGCGATAAAGACAAGCAAAGCCGGGTTGGAGAGGGCAACACGGTGGCAGGGGCATCGGGGACGTGGACCGGTGGGAAATGTGCAGGGTTTCCTAGTGGAACTTAACCTCATAACCATACCGTTACACAGCAGCCTTCATTAGCGACCTTTTTATAGCTCCTCAATCCTATTACTTCTGCCCTTTTTTTGTCGTCCTGCTCCTCCATAGCTCCAATCTCCACCGGCTTCAAGTGTGGGATTTGTTAGCAGGCGCGTCTCAATCCCTTTCTTGGCTCATTACAATTCCGACGCAAACCAATGGGGAACTTTAATACGTCGTGCATACGCAAGCAGCATACCCTGTTATTTACGTTACACAAATAATTTTCCCTTTAACAGCATCATAATTTTCCCTGCATCCGCTCTACCTCCTTCACGTCTGTGCTCCACCCTCGCTCTCCAGCCCCAGCACCTCCTCAAGTGTTTGATTCAAATAGATTTCCTCCAGGGCAGGGGGCGAGGAGCACAGAGGGAGGAAAATAAACAGAAAGGGTCATTATTCATGTCTGCCGTGACGCTATGGCAACAGTGTCCTCCCGCTCTGATTGGTCGTAGATAAGGTGGCCCTTTTTAGCCATCACTTTTGCTCTTACGAGTCCGAATTATTAGACCATTGTCAAGGCCCTGGCTGTCAATCACCTTCTAACAACCTGTGCTATTGTCCCTTTCCTGTCAGTGTGTCTTCATTTCCTCCGGACGATTTACGGTGAAAACCTGCACTGGAGGGCTCTCCCCTCGGTCTGTTTGTTTACACGGGAGATTGTGTGTTCAGCCAGTTCATCAGTGAGGTTCTGATCGAGCTTAACAACAGTGTGAGGGAGAAAATTGTCGTTTTTGCTTTGTTTTATGATTAAAACCAAATCAAGCTGAAATTTCCGACGTTGCTCGGTGCATCTAGTCGACGGCTCGGCTGCACTCATTTCGAGAGAAAGTATTTAAACTATTCCATGATTTAGTTCTTCATGTAACATCCTAACCTCTTTCGTGTGGGCTATTGCCAAAACAGGCTCAGTGTTCTAGCTACAACCTCCTACTCATCCTCTAAGTTGTGCTGTTTGGATTCGGAGTCATGCAGGGTTAATATAACAACTGCAGACTATAGTTCATGAAGTAAATCCTGTTTCTCGGTCCACTGAAGGAAAAGATGCTCTCCTGTCACATTACCTTCGTCTCCAAGGTCCCCACATTCACAGCGTTGGATTACGGAGACAGTTGCACAAAAGACTGAAGTTGTCAAGTCAGGAATCAGAACGTGTAATATTTAGCTGAAAGATATCAGTTATGAGGCATTACAGTTGCTGTGAACCAGAATACCAGAGCATATGTTAGGTTGTGATAAGTGCACACAATAGACGCTGCTGGATCATGTTGCCGCTATGACTCATCGTCACTCAGGTCAGGCAGGAGCTTCGTTCTCATACCTCAGCACTAAGATCACGAGGGAACTGCTGAATTTGTGCCCTTCATCCTCAATTTTAAAGGTAGTAAAACTGTTATCAACGGTATGCACAAAGGGCTGTCGAACTTGGAGAGTTGTGAAATAAAACCATAAAATGAGTTTGCATATTTTATATGTACCACAAGTAGCAGCTTGACAAATTTCCCAGCGTCTAAAGTTTAAAGGGTCCATCCATCCATTATTTATACACCGCTTAGTCCTCACTAGGGTCATGGGGGGCTGGAGTCTATCCCAGCTGACTCAGGCAGGTTCACCTGGACAGGTAACCAGTCTATCACAGGGCTACACTTAGAGACAGACAACCAAGCACACTCACATTCACACCTACAGACAATTTAGAATCACCAATTAACCTCAACATGTTTCTGGAGAGGGCTGCAAGGTGATGCTAGCACTGTTGCCTCGCAGCTAGAAGGTCGCCGGATCTTTCTGCATCGATGCTTCCATGTTCTCCATGTGCAGTGTGGGTTCTCTCCGGGTTCTCCAGCTTCCTTCCACACAGTCCAAAAACATGTTGAGGTTAATTGGTGATTCTAAATTGTCCGTAGGTGTGAATGTGAGTGTGCTTGGTTGTCTGTCTCTAAGTGTAACCCTGTGATAGACTGGCTACCTGTCCAGGTGAACCTGCCTTCACCCTGAGTCAGCTGGGACAGACCCCCTCGTGAGGACTAAGCGGTGTATAGATAATGGATGGATGGATGTTTTTGGAGAGAACCCACGCTGCACGGGGAGAACATACAAACTCCAGGCAGAACCGGCGACCTTCTACCTGTGAGACAATGGTGCTAACCACTTATCCACCTTGCAGCCCAGTTTAAAGGCTCATTTACCCAAAGTGCATGAAATAAACTAAAACCACAAAGCAAGACAGCATTTTATTGATGTGACTTTTCCCAACCAACCTTAAGTCTGTGACATCAGTGAATTTATACAAACAAAGTCAGACGTAAAATCCTTCCGGTTATTGTCACCAGTTTCTTTTTTATGAGCTGGGCTTGTTTGGATATTACAGTTTCTCAGGTATTTCTCACTACGCTATACTGTCTTGGAGCAGTCACTTGTTCAGATCAAACCAGCGTGAGCTACAAGAGAAATACACTTCAAAGCGAATGCAATGATTTTTTTTTTCCTTCTCTTTTTTGTTTACACAATGAATGCTGGTTGAAGGGGGGAGCTGTCAAACACTGCTAAAAGAGGTGTAGTCTGCCACCACGTACTTGCTTGTTAGCATGATTGGTGGAGTGTGGGTGGGGTAGTGTGTGTGTGTGTGTGTGTGTGTGTGTGTGTGTGTGTGTGTGTGTGTGTGTGTGTGTCAGGGTGCTGTTTTCTGACAGACTTCCCAGTTCTTTGTACTGTGTAATGTGAATCATCAGCATCATCTAGTGCAGTGGATTGTGGGGACATTCTGCACTGATGTGACTACCGACTGTTTATTTTTATGTCGCGGAGATGTTAAATGACAGGTAGTGAGGTCCCTCCACTCTAGAGGGGCCACTAGAGGGTGAATACAGCGTAAAACGGTGTAAGGATAATGTCTGACCCTACTATTACCAATGAAGGATTTTCATTTTACTGGCATTCACCAAATCAGCGATTTCGTGGACAGCGAGTAAGGTTAGCATTAAATCATCTTAATTATCTGAACATGCAAATTTCAGTGCAGAGGAAAGCGTTCGAGAGCCCAAGAGCAGCTTGAATTTGACTTAAAAAAAAAACTGTATCCGTCCAAAAAAAAATCAAGTAATTTCTTCCATTTTGTTTCTTTTATTAAATTTTTGACAGCTTGACACATTAGAGAATACATTCACAGGGTCGGACACGTGCTGTTGTGATTCTTTTGTTTTGTTGTTTATTACCAAACATTATTAGTATTAAACGTTATCCACTCGAGCGCACTCATTCATGTGGATAAGCCTGATAAGTGAGACATGAATAAATAAGTAGTCCGAGTCAGTCCAATCCATTAGCTCTCAGCCAATCACACATTCAGTCAGGCATTTGTTGAAGGTCTATTTTGACTGTAAGATTATTGGCATGCACTTAGCGCCAGCACTTTCATACTGCAATCCAAACCTTTCATAAACTCGCTGGAGGTGTGTGTGTGTGTGTTTTATTTCGTGCAGGGATTAATTGTCTAATCAGAATAGGAAATGCGTACTTATGTGCAAGGATTTAAACTTTTACGTCAGACTGTGGAAAAGTTTCATACGCTGAAAATAAAGTGAGGATGCTTTTGAAAATTGTATTTATGATGTTATGTCGTAAAAACTGTATAACAAAGTGTAGTGAGCTGATAAATCAACTCAATATTTGGTGAGCTGTGACTTTAAAACAGTTCAGGTTCTTCCAGTATTTCCAGGTTGTTCCAAGTATCTTGGAGAATTTCTGTTTTCTGTCTCTTATTTTAACCTAAACGCCACATGTGCTTACATTTTCACACAGTATTGCATGTCAGCCTCTGATCCTGTCACGTCTCTAAATTTGTCTTTCAGATCTTGGCCATCATCTCCATCCTCTTCATCGTGTTGTCCACCATCGCCCTGTCTCTGAACACCCTCCCGGAGCTGCAGGACACGGACGAGTTTGGCCAGTCGACGGACAACCCGCAACTGGCCCACGTGGAAGCTGTATGTATTGCCTGGTTTACGATGGAATACCTGCTCCGTTTCCTCTCCTCCCCCAACAAGTGGAAGTTCTTTAAGGGTCCTCTGAACGTCATCGACCTGCTGGCCATCCTGCCCTACTACGTCACCATTTTCCTGACAGAATCCAACAAGAGCGTGCTGCAGTTTCAGAACGTGCGGCGCGTGGTTCAGATTTTCCGGATCATGCGCATCTTGCGTATTCTGAAGCTGGCCCGGCACTCCACGGGCCTTCAGTCTCTGGGTTTCACCCTCAGGCGGAGTTACAACGAGCTGGGCCTGCTCATCCTCTTCCTGGCCATGGGCATCATGATCTTCTCCAGTCTGGTGTTTTTTGCTGAGAAGGATGAGGAGGATACAAAGTTTAAAAGCATTCCAGCTTCCTTCTGGTGGGCGACTATTACGATGACCACAGTCGGCTATGGAGATATCTACCCCAAAACTCTCTTGGGAAAGATTGTAGGGGGCTTGTGCTGCATAGCGGGAGTGCTTGTAATTGCCCTACCCATTCCCATTATTGTAAATAACTTCTCTGAATTTTACAAGGAGCAGAAGAGGCAAGAAAAAGCACTTAAAAGACGAGAGGCACTAGAGAGGGCGAAAAGAAATGGTAGCATTGTGTCGATGAACTTGAAAGAGGCGTTTGCTCGTAGTGCAGAGCTGATGGACGTGGTGGTGGAGAAGAGCGAGAGGCCTCATGACAACCACCTCTCTCCGAGTCGTTGGAAATGGACCCCCAAGAGGGCTGCGTCCGAGACCAGCTCGAACCGCTCGTTCAACGCCCAGGAGTTAGGCTCTCCCAGCAAGGCCCGAGCCACCAGTCCCCAGAGGCTGAACGTCCAGAAGCTCGAGGAGATGTACAACCAGATGGCAAAGACGCAGTCACAACCCAACCTCAACGCTAAAGACAGGGGCTCCAGAGTGGGCAAACAGAGGGACGAGATAGAGCTGGGGACCATCCAAGATCACGGACCGCCAGTGCTAGGAACCAGAGACGGAGTGGGGGACATGAAAAGCTTGTCCAGCATTGACAGCTACATCAGTTGTGCAACAGACTTCCAGGAGAATCCTCGATTCCCCCACAGTCCGGCAATTGACCTTGGCGTTCAGGAGAGCAGTCGCTTCTCATACAGTCCAGCCACAGCTTTGTCCCAGCACGCCGGTGCAAAAACAGGCCAGCAAACCACAGGGGAGCGTGAGCCCATGCTGACTCCCGTGTCTGTCATGAAACCCTCATGCCCAGAGAATTCAAGGAAATTCTTCTTTTCTGGAAACTACTCAAAAGGCCTTATTCCCAAAGGAAGCTGCCGCAGCGAGGGGGAGTCAGGGCCGTCCCCGCTCTCAGACAGCTCGGTCATGTCAGACCACTCTCTGTTAAGCCCTGAAGTTTCTGTCTACACCACTGCCAGCAGCAGGACCCCGCCCAAGTCTCCTGAAGACACCACCCTGGCTCCTACTGTCTTCACCTTCCACGACTCCTCCATCAGCAAATACATCGACGCCGATACAGACGATGACGAACACCTGCGCGACGTCTCTGACACCAGTCCCTCAGAGCGCCTGCTGGCTGGTGGAAGCCCAAAGCGCAGCATTAATAAAACTTACCAGAGGGGCACTAACCATTTAGAAGCAGCCCAGAAAATGCTGGGCCAGAACTGTCTGTTTCCCCTCGAAGGACTTCGTGGGATAGCTCACGAGAATCACATAGGACCTGAGATGGCCCGCAGATCAAAGGTGGAGCGGGGGCGTCAGAATACTTTGGACAAAAACCTCTGAGGCACAAGTGAAGCAGAAACAAAGAGAAAGTTGGGGACGGAGTGTTTGTGATAGAGACACTAGACAGGCTAACGCACTCCATAAGCCAGAGACGAGGGAAGACGAGACGAGACGAAGGGTCTCACTGAAACTATTCACAGATTACCTGAGCATGCCGTTGGGCGCTGAGCTCCGGGTGAACACGTGTGATAAATACTCTGGGAGAAAAACTTTTCTAAATTGGAGAATGTCACTGCCCCTCCTTCAGCTCATTCCTATTAGCGGTATTCCACACCTACAAAACAGGAGCACTCCCAAGTAGCCAATGGGTCTGTTCAGAGAAGCAGAGTCATCAGAGATATTGAGTCGTGGTTGTAAGTGGTGCAAACCAACTAAATGATGGTTTTTAGCTGCAGTGGGTTATCTCTATATTCTCCAGGAAAAAGAAAAAGAAAAAAAAAAAATTTAGCTGCAGTGGGTTATCTCTATATTCTCCAGGAAAAAGAAAAAGAAAAAAAAAAAAACCTGTCGCCCACTTTCCCATTATTGAGTCCCAGTTCATTTTGTAGTCTTGGAGATACAGGAGAGGACCTACAAGCCTATAAGCTACTTACTTGTGCCCTCCATTCCCAAACCTGGCCTTAGTCATCTCCATTCGTAGGGGTGTGCATGTCCGCATATGTGTGTGTGAGCGAGTATGAAGATTAATGAGTGAGCTAATGCTAGGTGAAATCATGTAAACACACCTTTGAGATTGTCTAACCTGATTTATTTTTATATAGATAAGAGAGAGTTCCTTATAGAAATAAGTGATTTGCTAGTCTGCTGTGTCATTATCATATGTGAAGAGTAATCCTGTATGAGGTTCAGTGTCTTGGCACAGAGGCTGCAGTTATCAGAGGCTCATCATCATCCATTAACAGGACCGCTCTTTTTTTTTTTTAAACAATATTTTACTATCCCCCTAACATGTCTTGGTGAGAATGGATGATACGTTCAAATCTCTACCAGTAGACAGTGTCTTAGCACCCAAATAATGTCAGTGGTGAACCAAGAGCTTCTGATATGAGCTAACACAACAACCACCGATTATTATCTCGATTGCTACATAAAGTGCACACTTCTGAAGCATGCATGCACCCAACCATGATGAGTTGCTCGTCCATCATATCTAAAGAAATATTTAAACCCTCCTATATTTTTTATGTTTACAGCTTACCGACATAGAATTAAGGTTTTAGCGCCAGAGCGTGCATTGGCCTTTATTTGACCGACATAAAAGCAGCCAAAGAGATCACGCAATTTCAAATAATGGATGTATCAGAAACTGAAAGCAGGGGAATTATTATCAGCCTCTGCTTCGTTCCTGAAATCACCTAGATAAGCTCTAATATACACAACCAGGTTACCATTCATCAGTCGCAAATGCCAGAACTGATAAAAAAAAAAATGCATGAACACACACACACATGTGCAAAAGACACACATGCAGGTATGGAAAACAATCTTCAGGATGCATAGATACATTCAGTTTCCATGGTGACAGCAGTGGTCCTCTAAGGCTGGCAACAGCGAAGCAATGATTTGTTAATTGGGGTGGTGAACGTCTGCCTGCTCTCACACACACACACACACACACACCGACGGGCACCCGTGAAGGCGTCCGCAGTAGTCGCATGATAGCAGAACCACTCCTCACTGTGCATATTCATGAGTGGTGTGTAAATGCATTACGATGTAAGGACCCCGAGCATCATGTTTGAGACGTCTGTAGCATCCCATTGATACGATGATTTGAGTTTAGTCTGTTGACTGTTACCCGCTGACCTGGAAGACATAATGCATTCCCTGTTATCTGTTTACACTGCCACATAGGATGGAGAGAAACGGTCACCTGCCACTTTTAAAACAGCAGACAGCATATTTTTTACAGGACTTTTCCCTTTATACAGAAAACAGATCATGAGGGGAGCATGAATTATTTATCAAGTGTGACTTTACATCCATATAGGTCATGTTGAGTTACTGTAAACCAGTAAGCATGCTTTTTTTTTATTATTGTCATCACAGCTTTCACAGACAAGATGAGCAAAGAAGAACCTCAGTGCCAAGTAAATATATTCGCAAATTGCTATCTGTCATTTCCTGATACACATATATTGGTAAAAGGTGCAGGTAGAGCAGGTCACGATTATAAAGGTAAAATTTGATCCAAAAGTCAACAGAGGGCGATTGACATAGTTTTTTTATTTTGATTTTTTTGGAGTCTAATCACAAATCCTGATTTCATTTCCCGTTTTAATCACAGAGTCGGACCATTTCATATTGCTCTCCCATAGTGAGAGGAGCTGAGGTGTGAAAGGAATAGCAATGACTGCGAGGAGCAGAGGCAAGCGTGTGTGTATGTGACTGCTGTAAAGCCAGGGCATTAGAACAGTGGGGCTGCCGCTTAATGGAAAAGAATGAACTGTTTCCAATATGAATGTATGCATGATGGGGGAATCCCGCTTCCGTTCTCTCCGTAGTCCAGCAGATTGCAACACCAAGGGAGCTCGAACATAATATGAGAAATTAGGACTTATTTATAGGAGATGTTTAATTTTTTAGCTTTATTTCTAGAAAAGAGGGATAATTGGGCAAATAATTGCACACAGCACAGCAGCATCGGCTCCTAAATCCACGACACTCGTTTGTGTATCCAGTTAAAAAATTGATTTGATGTTTTTCATCCATATATTGTCTCAGTAGTTACATCTGAAGCAGCTGCTAATATTAGAGTCTATGTTCACAAGAAGTAAAAACAATCCTCAACAGTAGGATTTTAAATATAAGCACAGGTGTCATCGACAAAGAGGTGTTCCAAAGTGAGATAGCTTGATTTTTAAAATGACAAACTAATGGCCCTTCTGGTCATATTCCCTTTAGTTGTGTTCATACATAGTTTCCACAGAAAATGCATGTATTTCGTTCTGTCGTATTATGAGGTTGAAGAGATAAACTCTCCATAGAAAACATGCTAAACTTACAAGCTTGCTCAAAGCATAATTTCCTTTTCTATTAATCCAAAATGTCAATTTAAACAAGACAGATGACTGATTTATAAGCCACCAGTTGGATGTCAGCTCCAGATTAACTCTCCATTACATTCTTTGTCTTATAGGTGTCGAGACCAACGTGTGTCAAACATTTCATTTATTTTACACCTCAGTGTCCGTAGAGATTTCATAATGTTTACTTCAGTCAAGACCAAACCAACGTCAGACATGTCCTTTAGAGTGAATGACAGTAATTAGAAAAAAAAAAGATAATTTTTCAAGAGTAAAATAAGGGCATTTGGCTCACACAAGTTCTGGTGAGCTTCTGTCCCATCATTTAGGTTTTCTATATGACGGTAGTCAGGGACCATTTTCACTGAAATATCTCTTAACAATGATGACAATCAATACTTTATGAATAGGCAGCAAGCACTATTGTGGAGAGATTTAGTGTGGGCAAATATTACACAAAATGCACACAAGTATTGAAATCCTGACGCTAGCATTGACGCTGTTGAGCTTTTAGAAATGGTAGTGCAAAGGAACATCGAGCATGACGACTTAATTTATTACTTAGACTGTGATACTGTGACAAAATGCCACCATAACACAAAAAAAACCCTTCATATATTTTTACAAGTCATCCTTGTTTTATTTGGACACCTCTTCCGCTCCATCGTCACGGGAGCTGTTCAAAATCATGAAATCTAATTGTATAGCGGACCTTTTAATTTCACTGAGGTCCCCGTGGAAAAATTCCGATGCCAATTGAAGGACCGAACCGCGACTCTTTATGAAGAAAACACAATCAAGTGGTTTGTTTTATTCCTCATTTATTGATTCAAATTAAACCGAAGAGCACAGATTCATTAACTTTTCCATAAGACTCCCCACTGTACAGTAAACGCATTTAGGGAAAATCTAAAACACAATCCGGTTGTTGTGCAAGCTGCTAAATTTAACTGTGAAGAGGTCCCGGTCTTTTTCATTTCTGTTAGAACGCGACAGGATCTTTTCAAGGACATAGTTTCCAAAACCCGGATGGAAACGTTGCAGCCCGGTTCCACACACTCTGAATCTAACACTGTATTACAGGGTTGGGGTCGATTCAGGATGCCTTGATGGAGTTAAACACACATCACACACATAACAGTAAACAGTATTAGAGCATGACACAAATTAAGTACGACTTTAAAGCATAAACTCTATTTTTTCTACGGTTTAAGCTCTCAGTGGAATTGACCCCAACCTTGCCTAAGCCATCAGTCTTTGTAAAGTACACTGTTTCCAGGGAAATTGAAAAAAAAAAAACAACAACAACAACAAAAAAGATATTTGAATGACCTTAGCCAGCTCTTATACAATGTTGTTTGTAGGTCCCGAGGCTGTCTGTTTTGTAAAAAAGAAAAAGACAAACATTTTTACCTGTTGACTTTCTATGCTGTTGTTTCTGTATAAATGTTCTATTGTTCAGTGCATGTTGTAACTTTGGCGTTGTGACTCACACAGAGCCAGTACTCGTCATGTAAAAAAGAAAGAAAAACAGAAAAAAAAAAAAAACAAAGTGTCTCAATGTCCCAAGATTATTTCTATTTCTTAAGAAAGCAACATTTCCCTTGAATGACTCAAAATGAAATAAATCAAATCACTTTACATTTTGATTAGGAATCGTCGACTTTTATTTCACTCTTAATTTGTTGTGAATATGTATTCCTCAAGTTTGTGTTAGTAAAGTCGGTTAAATTAAGGCATTCTAACAAACAGGAATCTTCCTCTGCCTGCACATTTTTCTACATGTAGTTATTTGAAGACATTTAAATTTAGTCACTGGTCTCAAAAGGCACAACTGAGCATCGACTCTCTCGCTCTTTAACTGGAATTATTCTGGCTATTTATGCTGGAATGTTGTTCTTTCTGCGGCTATCTCGGCAAATTTATACAAGATGGAGGCTAACAGAAGGAAGGAGGAGGTTAGATGAAGAGGAAGCTGTGGGCTGTCGGGCAGGAACAGGCTTCCAGCCTCCCCACACGTCTCCACACACCCCTGCATCGAGGGTTTCCCACCGCCTGCCACTGGAGAGACTGTCTCCTGCAGGGGGAAGGGAGGGATGAGTTAGTGGTTACGAGACCTCTCTGCAAAGCCAAGCGGTAAGCAACGTTGCCATCTAGTGGTAGTCCTCGCTGCTGCCCATCAGATCCAGGAGATAAGGATCAGATCGTTTGGGAGGAAACCCGAAAACAATGCCTGGGAATGTGATCCAGGCTGACTCATGTATCTATCTACCGCTGAACATCTACTAATACACACTCGGGTGTTGTGTCACACACGTGCAGGATGCTGCTAAATGTGATTTACGCAGGTGCCAAGGACGGGATCATCTTTCTCCTGTCTGTCTGCACTGTAGGAACACATATCTGCAGATACACTCCCTGTTCATATGAATACAAACCCATTTTGTTCTCCTTTTTTTAAAAATGATATCGTGTGAAGTTATACTATGACAATGCAGTTACAGAGTATAACAACAGTCTTTAAGGTTTGCATTTCACGGTAAGTGGGTCAGGGTAAGACTAATCCTACTTTTTTTTTAAATTTATTTATTAAAGTCCCTTTTCAGATGTGAATTTAACCCCAAAACCACGTCTCTGTTACATATTTAGCCGTTTTTCCCATGAAAATAATCCCTTCATGCCTTAATATAGCTCAGATGTAACTCTACACCGTGGCTTCCACTGAAATGTGCCGATCAATACAGTCCCTGGCTCTCTCTCCAGTGACCCCGCCCCACATTTGCTGCAGCTCCAGCACACCAGCTCACCTATGACTCTGCTAAAACACTGTAAAACTAGTGCATGCAACACAATAGCAAGATGGAGTCACTAAGGCATACATGCTCAAACCAGAAAGAAATTCTGAGCAAGAATACAGAAGGTACCATCTTGCAAGTGGACACGATTGGTTCCTGAGGCCTGTTAGGGTTTAATCCCAACTGTGTTACATTCTAAACCAGGGGTGCCCAATCCTGGTCCTCGAGAGCCCCTATCCAGCATGTTTTAGATGTTTCCCCTCTTCCAACACACCTGATTCACATGATCAGGATCATTATCGGGCTTCTGCAGAGCTTGATGATGAGATGATCATTTGAATCAGGTGTGTTAGAAGAGAGAAACATCTAAAACATGTTGGATAGGGGCTCTCGAGGACCAGGATTGGGCACCCCTGTTGTAAACCCTAGAAATGTGAATCTGTGTTTCTGGGAGGATCATTAGCAAGCTGCAACTTCACAGCAGACATGCTCATCCATAGCGCTGAATGTGGTGCCCTCTGGCTTATAAAAGCACCATATGGCCATGGGAACAAAAAATAAAGAAAGAAAAATAGCCAGGGGCATCTTTAAACAAGGGATAGTAAACATGATCATTTCTTGCAGTCAGTCAGATGATCAGCATCACTCTCATCTGTACAGTACACATGATGATACAGTCAGCAGCCGAATTTGTGTCGAACCCCTTAAAGCTCTCAAAGAACCTCATCTTTAACAGCAAACACACAATAAATATGTTTTCCAAAACATCTATTTAAAAATGTGTATAGTTTTAGTCAGTGCAGTTTGATCAATTATTTATTGATTTTGGAAAACAGTCTGCAGAGCCCCCCTAAGAGGTCAGTCCAGGACTACTGTGTTCCTCTACAAGCATTTCTCTAACGCGAAAAACAGTCAAGATGTAAAGCAAAGAGATCGCTTGAGTGTGCTGGGAACCAGACGAATCCAAGAGCTCATGTTTCATTTCTGAAATTGTTCTTTCCCGACATACGAGCACAATCGAGGATAATTTCATGGTTGAATAGATCTGCTGTTGGGCTGTAGAACAAATATCTGTCTCCTCGGGTTGTTTCCTGCAACACGAGCTCAAATTCATGAGGCTTTCTAAATGCAGTGACGTCGAACATTCAAACCTGTTTTTGATTTTTTTTTAAAAACAGGAGATGAGTTGTGATGCGATGGTGTCTTCATGCATGCGTTTACCTGTCCGTGCTGTTCTTCTCACCGTCTCCAGCGCAGTGCTTCTGTCCGGCAGCGAGGGCAGGCGGCTGGCACTCGACACACACATGGTGGCCCTCCCTCAGGTACTGCATCCACTGAGTGTGTGGGCCTTCGCTCTGCTGGCATCCTTTTGTCAGAGAGGTCAGCTGAAACTGGACACAATACCTACAGCACAGAAACACAGACATTCACTAAGAACTCCAAAAATCTGTAGTGACCATAGTTAGGAGCACATCAAAGGAGCGTAATTTCACATTTTTGTAGGCTGTCTGTTACCCTATAACATCGCTGCTGTCGGGGATGTCTCTTTTCTTCCTGGCGTTGCCATAGCCACCCGTGGTAATAAGTGCTGGGACTGCAGATGAAGAAGCATAAAACCATTACATCATGTCTTGTAATATTCAGCCTCTTTTATTTCAATTGAAAAAAACACACAAGTAAATCTGCACTTTTGAAACGACATCTTGTTTCATTCAATTCGCATTTCGAAGACAGAATGAGGAGCAGCTGAGCGAGCGCCGGGCTTCATCAGGTACGTCTGCAAGAGAGTTCTTTTAAATGGGTTTGACCTGCAGGGGCAGAGACTGCGATTCATATTGCATACTGTTTACGCACACAGAGAAGACCTCATGCTTCAGTGTCTCTATTTCACAGAGAAACAAACATTCGCACTGTTTTATTCTGTTTTATGTTGCTCACCAGTGCTTCAGTGCTTCTACACTATTGATCTTTTATTAAAATAACGACCAACTATGACTGTATTTGGACAAAATCTAAGACTTTTACTGGCATATGTGAAAATAGTGGTTAAAAAAATACATGAAAAATCTTGATTTGACTTTGATTTTCTGTGTTTTCCTGTTAATGACAAAACTTGTGACTTTCAGATGTGCATATTGCAGATTAATTAGCAATTAGGAGGTATTTTTTGACACTGATGCGATGCTCCCAAACACAGTCTGGTCTTACAACACTTAAGAATAATCAAGTTTTGCCAGTGTGGTTCTATAATGATTTCAAAAGCTTCAGAAACGTTTAATCTCTCACATTGTGCTAATTATACATGACCCAGAAGGAGGTGGACAGAATCACAGCCTCAAGGAAACATACACTTTATTTCTTAGAGAATGTCAGAACATTATATGATGATCGCAAATGAGAAAAATGGCAAAAGTGTGGAAGAGTCGAGGAGGCTTTTTCTCACCGAGTGAGCTTTGACAGTGTCCTTGCTGAGACCAATACTCTGCACAGCCAGCGAGCTCCTCCAGATGGGGACAAGGTTTTCCTGCGTTGACTGCTTCCTGCAGGATGGTCCTGCTCCTCCTGCGGACCGTGGCCCTGCAGGGTTCAGCACATCCGGACCAGCCGGTCCACTCGCTCACCACACAGGACACCGCTGGCATATAGAGAAACCAAAACCATTGTTTCTTCATATCAGGGCTGCAACTAATTGCATTGTCGATTAACCTTATGAACCCCAAGCAGTTGCTCCTGTCACATTTTTATTCACTGTGCAACATAAACTCCTGCACCTCTATGTAAACAGTGCAACCGTTTTTATGACTAGATTGAACCTTAACGTGTTTTCTGTGCATTATGACACAGCTATAAAGCCATAAATCATAACAAAAAAACAAACAAAAGTTGATTTTTATTCATTATTTGAAGAAGAAAAAAAAATAGAAATCAACATGTACACATTCCAAGTCCCCACAGGTGTTACCCATCCTGTAAAAAGTGGTGGTAGATATTTAACTGTTTACATTTTTACAACCTCTACAAACTGTGTTGCGTATATACAGTCCCTATGAAAAAGTATGTTTGTATAATCTACCTCACACGGGCGCAATAACAACCACTTCACTCTGGGCAATACCCAACTACCACCAGTGTTTTATAGGGTTGTACAAAGTCTGAATAATATGTCTTGTATGTCTTATAATTGCTGGTGCACCTCGGGAGCAGCTCTTTAGATTTTATTGTACTCGTATAAGGACAATAAAGACTTTCTATTCTATTCTATTCTATTCATCCCCCTGCAAGTTTTTTCCTTTTATTGTATTCAACATTGAATTATGGTGATTTTAATTTGGCTCATTTGACA